TAAAACTTGTTTGTTCACATCTCAACAGTAGCTTTGGTAATTGCTGCTGGCTCCATTTTACAGAAAGGAGAACTGAGGCTCGTAGGGTTGAAATGCTTCACTCCAGACCCCAGGCAACTGGCAGAGGTAGATTCGAACCCAGATTGCTCTGCCCACAGCATCCTGCCCTGCCTCACCTCCTCCCACCTGCTCTCACTTCCACCAAACTCTGCTCAGGTCAAGCTTTCTCCTTCTGCAGCTCCCAGAGGCCTCTGGTCCTGTGCACCTACCTCGTAGCCTCGGTGATTGATGAGACATTTACTGAGTGATGACTGTGTGTCCCCAAATGAGACAGACCACCCAAGCCTCTCCCCGCCTCCCTTCCCTGCAGCAGGCTATGGGGTTCATCCATCCCGCTCCAGCCACACCAAGCTGTGTGCGTTTCCTTCACCTCCGGCCCATGCCATTGCCAGGAGAGGCCTGGGTGGGCCTGAACCCCTCGCCCACCCTAAGCATTTGTTTCCCTCCACCCTTTTATTCTGTGGCCCAATTTTTACCAGCCTTGGAATTAACCTATTGGACCAGTGGCTTCTTGTGTTGTTTCAGGTTCAGAGCCAAAACTGCTAACTTTTACCAGAGTGGAAAGGTTTTAGTTGCGACTATGCATGTTACCAAAATAGGAATCTGTTGGGGAGGGGGTGTCCACACTGCAACGGTATGAGCATGTGTAATTCAGTTAGGGGGAAAGGCTACAAAGCTCTTGGCTCGGGTGACAGCGAGCAGGACCAGGCTGGGGCGTTCCTGGCAGCCGCAGGACGGCAGAGCACCGTCCTGGCAGCTGTCACCAAAACCTAGAGAAGGGCCAAGGCTTGGGATCCAGAGCATGGCAGGTGGCTTAAATTTGACGCCTGTGTTTATGCCACTTTCCAGAAGCATGGTATCAGCACCACTGTTAATGTTAATTTCGGGAAGTACTCTCAGCACAGCCCAGTTGTTACCTGTTCTTATCTTTTGTGTATCTCTTTTTTGGTGTCTTCTCAATAAGGGATTGGCTTTTAATTGATGCCTCGAGTTAATCTATCTCAGTTGCCCCCACCTCTCGGTCTCAGGGACATTACAATGTCGAACCTACCTCGTTCTGCCTCTGTCAAAACCAGCTCAGCAAGTATATCCATCAAGGTTCTTGCATGTCCAAGGGGCAGATGCTGACTGGCAACATTATGAAGCAGGAAAGGAACTTACTAGAAGGCCAAGGGTGGGGAAGAGTGGTGAGAATTGGCATGGGCAGCACCAGGCCAGCAGACAGCTGGACGGAGGGACCGTGATATCCACTCTGGAGTCATATCTCAGGGCAGAGTGTCCTCTTGGCCAGGCTGAGTCCCGGGCCCTCCTTGCCAGTGTAGGGTGGGACATCTGGACTGACAGCCCTCTTGGAAGCTGAGAGGGAATCAGAACCACACATGCTGTCTGGCCAGTAGGGGAAGTGGAGACCTCAGGAGAAACGGGGAGAAGGTCTGCGCCCTGAGGAATCCCCATTTGCTTCCCTTAAAGACGTATTGGCCCTCAGACCTCTGCCAGAGAATCTTTAGGACTAAGGCTGTAGTGTTTGATGTGCGTCCCAGGGGTTCTGTGTGTGCCCCCCATTAAGAACCATCAGGGACCCTTGAGGAACTCCAGTTCCCTAGCCAGGTATGGGGGGCAGAGGGGCAGCCTGCCGGATGCCAGCCGGCTCTCACTCCCTCCTCTTGGGGAAGTGACTGCATGTCCCACCTCAGTTTCCCTGTCTGTAAAGTGGGGCCACAAGCATTCCGAGCTCAGAGTGTTGTGGTAAAAACTGAATTCTAACCCTTTCAAAGTGCTTGAGCTGTTAGGATCCAAATGCATCCTGACTTGGGCTGAGTCATCTGAAACTGCCCCCCCCACTCTCTCCTTCAAACTGGGGAGCCAGGAGGCAGCATGGTGTGAGAAGAAACCCAAGGCCCTGTCACAGCCCTGCCGCCAGCAGACTGCAGGCAAGTCAGAGGACCCACTTTCCCCATCTGTGCTCTGGGGTGGGCGTGCTGGACACATCGAGCTAGCTGAATGGTGGGGGGCTATGTCTTGTCTCCACCGGGCAGCCTCCTGCAGACAACAGCTCCCAGAAAGCCCCCCAAGGGGAGACAGCCACCAGACACTTAGCAACACCTACTGTGCACCTCACTGCACAGATGTTCTCTCTCCCGGCCTTGCAATCACCCACATGTGGCCCCACTTCACCGGAGGAAATGAGGCCCCAAGGACTCAGCCAACTGCCGGAGAGGTCCCGCGCCCAACTTGGAGTTGAAGCTGACACCCGTCAACCACACTGCCTGTTGGCCTTCTCTTGATCTTCCCCGTAACTCCACAGTAGGAACTGTGGTGTTTTCCTGCTTTATAAGGGGGGAAACAGGTTCAAGGCCCCAAGGGATTTGCGCCCTAAGCCAGACTTCAGCTTCTGGGAGCTCTACCCCAGAGTGCAGAGGAGATGAAAAGTCAGAGCCTTGAAGGCCCCTGAGGCTTACAGAGTGTCTGCCCAGCCCTGCCCTGCCCGTCTGGCCAGAGGCTGGAGGCTGCCAAGTTGGCCTCCCCGGCGTCGGCCTCCCGGGGGCCGAGCAAGGCGGGAAACAGTGACAGGCAGGGCCTCCAAGCAGAAAGAAGCGTCAATGCCGATCCCTGTGCCGGGGTGAACGACATCCCCTGTCACCAGAGTGCAATCTGCGACTTGGACTCACTAGCCGGCCCCCCCAGCCGCACAGGACCCTGCCCCCCTGCTGGCCCCGAGCGAGCCCTCCCTGTTGATCTAACGCCCCTGACCCCAGCAAGCGCTCGTCGCCTTTTTCTCCCTTTCTCAAAAACCAGGACACAATAGGAAGCATTTCCTTGAACTTATTAAAAAATCCAGACTTGTAAATTAATTTGTCCGTGTTGTACAAAGGCAGTGCAGATGGACTCATTAGCATGCACACAACAAATAATTATAGATGAATTTTTAGCTGGCCTGCCTAATGCGCTTGCTGGGTTAATTATGTCAATGTATAATTACATCAGCCCGGGGAGACATAATGGCATACCCCGCTGAGCAGGCCCTGCCTAATGACGGGGCGGGGGCGGGTGCTGACGGAGGGGATGACGCCCGGCCTTCCCGCGCACCTGCTTACCTCGCACAAACGCCCATTGTCCAAGCCTCCCGCTCCCCAAACACACAGGCGGCCCGGGAGGGATCAGACACAGCGACCTTGTTCCAGCCCTACCTGAAGGCCTCGTGTGCAGGTCCTGCCCGTTTCTTCCATGGGCAGATATGGATTGAGTTGGACTGTGCTAAGCCCAAGGGGTCTGGTGGGGGAGCACAAACAGATGCGGTCCCACCCTCCCTTGTTACAGAGTTTGCAGTCTCGTGGGTGTTAATTATGTGGACTTGCAAATAAATTGTTACTGCAATGAGTGTTGTGAAGGGAAGGGCAGGCAGCTGGGAGAGCTCAGATCAGACGACTGACTGGTCAGGGAAGGCTTCCGGGAAGAAGTGGGCATCTGAATCACAATATGAAAATCATAAGCTTTGACCAGATAAAAGTGTGGGGAAGGACAGAGTGTTCTTGGAAGACTCCTGCCTCTGCAAAAGCTATGGGGCGGAAAGGTGCATTTGAAGAACAGAGGAAAAGACCAGTTTGTTCGGAGCAGGAATGGCGAGGGCTTCCATTTATTCTGAGCTGACCCTGTGCCAGGTGCAGTGTTGCACACTTTACGTGGATCCTCAACACAGCCCCATGAAACCAAATTTCATGTTGAGACACAGAGGTAGAGTTGCTTGCCAACAGCACACAGCAGTCCCACAGGCAAGGATAGATTAGACCAGGACCCAGACACTTCTGACACCACAGTCCATGCTTTTAATCTCTGCCCCTCAGCCGAGAGCAGTGGCCAAGCAGAGGCAGGCAGGAGATCCCGGCAGGAAGAAAGGGCTCAGGACATTAGAAAGGACTGGACCTGACCCAGCTCCTTGGTCTGCAAGCCTGGAGCTTGCCACCATGAGCACCTGTCTGTGGCTGCTGTGCTGAAATATCCGCACCACTGGACAGGAAGCCTCTGTGGTGTCAGAGAAAGACCCAGAATCCAGTGTCACCTATGCTCTTTAGCAAGTCACCTGGCTTCTCTGAACCACAGTTTCCCCCTCTGTGAAGACAAGCTGGATCCAAGCCAGCCTGCAGGAGATGCTGGGAGCATCTCAGGAACCCCTCCCGTGCCGGGTTTTGTCCCCGGGAGGGTGCTGCCTGCCATCTGGGGTTATTGGGGTTCTCTAGGTCTGGAGGAGGAGGCCGCGCACATCAGGTGAAAGGAGAGGAAACAGTTCCTGGCAGAAGCACCTGCAAGTGTCTCACCTTTTAGCTGTTTGGGCATGGGGGGTGGGGGGAGCATCTTACGTCCAGGTGTGTATTTCGCCCCTGGAAGGACTGTGGTTTTCTCGACCATGTGTGCAAATGATAGCGTGCTGATGCAGGGCCTCTGAGAAGCAGCCTGAGGCTACAGGGGCCAGCATGCAATGGGGAGCGGGTGGGCGGCACAGCATGGAGAGAGGCAGGAGCTGGGGGACAGCCTGCCAAAGTGCTGGGCAAGGTCTCGGGGGTTCCCCTGTGTCCCCCTTGGCTCCTGGTCCCCACTGCCACAGGCCTGTCTGGAATGGCCGTGGAAGGCTGCCTCAGTTGGTGTTGTCAGGGTGCCTGGCAGCCCTTGCTCAGGGCCACCCCGTGGCTGGAGGTGTACAAGACGTGCCCCAGGACTGCCACAGGTGGTATTGCAGAATCAAGGAAACACAGTTCTTACAACAGCCTTTATTGTCATTCCCCCACACACACCCCTGCTATGCAGGACACCTGCACCTGTCCCCCCCGCCAATAGCTCCCCCAAACCATGTAGGCACCCTTGTGGATGGCAGTCCCACAGGGGGATCCACCAGGCCCTCCCTGGGTTGGGCGACCCCCTCACCTGTCCTCTCTCTCTCCACGCAGACCCCGTGCCTGTGTTTGAGGCGGCTCGTGGCCTAGACGACAGACTGCAGCCCCCCAGCCTCGACCCCAGCGGGCAGCCCCGGCGAGACCTCCACACTTCGTGGAAGAGGCACCCCGAGCTCCTCTGCCCCAAAGGTACTGGGACACCCATAATGAACAGATGGGCTGTGGGTCCTCGGTGGCCAGACTCCTCAGTGGCGGGGAAGAGGGCCAGGAAGCTCGACTTTACCATTTTAGAAGCCAGATGGGTTAAGGTACACATCTGCCGAAACTGACCCACATCTCACAGGCCTAGTATACTTGAAGGACTGCACTCCATGCAGTCACTCAGGGCCCCAGGCTGTGCTGGGCCTTCTATCTTTAATAACACATGCTATCCGGGGCCTCCCTGGTGGCGCAAGGGGTTCAGCACAGCACTGTGAAGCTGTTTGCAGCCACTGCAGCACGAGTTAAATCCCGGCCAGGAAGCTACTCACATGGTGCAGCAGACCTCTCCTGTCTCCCTGCTGCTCCCCTCAGCAGTGTATTTCAGTCAGGCTGCCTGTTCTGTTCCCCACTCTGTCTCTGGTAAATCCTCTCACCCCCATACCTCTGGCCTGTACCCCAGTTCTTGTATGCATAAATAAGTCTTTAAAAAAAAAAATAATGCATGAGCCGGCCAACCGAACGAGAATGTGGGGGTGGGAGTGTCCTGGCCTCAAGTGGCGTCATCACGCCAGCTACATCGCATTGACCAAAGCTCAGTCATGTTGCCGCTGTGAGATGTGAGGGAGGGGAAAGCACTGAGCAGCACCTCAGTAAGCTAGACCTAGAGCGACCCCGAGACCCAGCAGTTCCACTCCTGGCTGTGTACCCCAAACGAGTGAAAACAGAGACTCAAATAGAAACATGTCCCCAGATGTTCACAGCAACCCACTCGTGGCAGCCGGTGGAGGGTGCAGCCAAGGTCGGTCACTGTGACCGTGCCCCATACGCCCCAGGCTGTGACGGCCTGAACGGCCATGACGCCCTGATGCCGGCAGCCGGGTGGAGGGTGCTAGGCAAGGAGCGACATGCAGCGTGTGACTCAGTGATGAAAATCGTCCAGAGCAGGCAGATAGAGCAGATCGGGGCGGCTCCAGGGGCTGGGGGCACGGGGAGTAGAGTCTGTGTCCGGGGGGTGGCTTCCTTTTGGGGTGCAGCCGTGTCCTGGGGGGAGTGGCGTTGGTCGCACAATACAGTGAAGACAGTAAGTATAATGGTGTGTTTTCTCTCATGTATATGTGCCATGATATCTTAAAGATAATAAGCAGCCAAGGAGGCAGGAACAGGTCCCTGAGGTATGGGAGACCCCAGGTACACTGTCTGGGACTAGCGGGACAGGCACTTGACTTCCCCGTGGATGGCTGCTGCCTGCTGGCGGGGTGACAGGTCCCCACAGCCCGCGCCTGGGAAATGATGGTGCTCCCGCACCGTCTGCTGTACTCAGCCAGGCCACGGTGGTTCTCGCTCTTTTTCTCCCTCCAGAGCAGAGAGAGGGGCCGTCTCCGGCGGGGCCCACACTGACTGAGGGGAGCCGCCTCCCGGGCATTCCCAGCAAAGCCCTCCTGACAGAAACTTTGCTGCAGAGAAATGAGGTGGAGAAACAAAAGTGAGTGGGGGTCACCGCGGGCCCCCTCTGCTGGGAGGTGGGGCTGGAAGAATCACCCTGCCCAGGACCCTTGGTATCTGGGCGCAGACCCAGATTTCCGCCCTATTTCAGCAGCACAGTGGCCAGCCCTGGACAGGTCACTTCATTTCTCTGTGCCTAGTTTCCCCATCTGGAAAGTGGGTCAAGTGGGGGTGTGTTAAACATGGTTCTCCAGAGAAACAGAACCAGTAGAATTTCTTTTTAATGCATAAAGAGACCTGTTTCAAGGACAGGTCTGGCAAGTCCAGCTTAGTAAAACAGGCCAGCAGACGGAAACTGTCGGGCAGGGGGCTACACTGCCCTCCTGAGACAGAGTTTCTTCTTCCTCACTTTGAGCCTTAAGACCTGCAACTGGGGCCTTAAGACCTGGTGGCGCAGCGGTTGAACGCTGGGCTGTGAAGCTGCCCGCAGCCTCTGCAGTGCTTGTTCGATCCCCCAGCCGCTGGCGAGGGTCCCACATGGCGCGCAGACCTCTCCTGACGTGCCTGCTGCTCCCCTCAGCAGTGCATTTCATCAGTCTGCCTGTTCTGTTCCCCACTCTGTCTCTGGTGAATTCTCTCACCCTCCCGTGCTTCTGACTGTACCCAGTGCTTGTATAAATAAATAAATAAATCTTTAAAAAAAAAAAAAAAAAGACCTGCAACTGATTAGACGAGGCCCACCCACCTGATTGAGACTGTTCCTTTACCTCACAGTCGGCTGACTGTAGATGTCAACCCCAGTTCAGAACACCTGCACAACAACGCCTAGGCCAGTATGTGACTGGACAGCTAGGCCCTAGAATCTGACTGGGCAGGCCTGTAACACTGACCATCACAGGCAGTATCAGCTTCTGGCCTGCGGCCTGGCCTGCTGACGCCTGTCCAGCTTAGCTCCACTCCCATACGGAGGAGTGCGTGTCAGTGAGTGGACAGCCTTTGCATTGGCTGCTGCTGAGTTCTGGGGCCCTCCTTGGATGGCACTATGGTGCTCATCTCCTCTCTCCTTCATCCTTCTGCATATTTTCAGAGCCGACTACTGTGTGGCAGGCCCAGTTCTAGAGACACGGGCGTGAATGAAATAGACTAGACTCTCTGTCCTGCTGGAGCTTACTTTCACGTAAAGACACAAATGAATAAGATAAATAAATGGTGTGCTAGATGACAGTTATAAAGAAAAATAGGGGAAGAAACAGGGCTGTGAGGAGCTAAGGTTTAAGTAAGGTGATGGGGCAGGCTGAGCAAAGCCCAGAGGAGGTGAGAAAGGGAGTCTGGCCAGGCTGTAGGGGAATTTTTTACAGGCAGAAGGAACAGCCCGTGCAAAGGCAGGCCCAGTGTGTGGGGGTGCCAGGAAGGGAGTGTGACCAAGAGGGGCGGGACATGAGTGCCAAGTGAAGGTGTACTCCCTTCCCAGAGCCTGCGAGGCCCAGGCATTGCCTGAACACCCCTGTAGTGCAGCTCTGGCCCTGCTCTCTCGGCTGAGAGACTTGCCTCTCACTTGGGCTGGTCACCCCAATGTCCTGACACAGGGAGGGGAGAAAATTCCTCCCTGGGGGCCAGAACAGCAGCTGACAGTGAAGGAGCTGGAAGCAGGAGTTGCTCCCACTGAGGCACAGTCCTTCCAAAATCCCTTTTACAAAGAAACTGAGGCTGAGAAACGAAGTTGATGACTGCTGGGTGCCCCCAAAAATGCTGCCAGAAAGTAAATGGGGCCAGTTATGATGGAGTCTCAAGGTCCACAAAACAGTGGGGCAGCCAAGTGTCCGAATGTTCTTAGGGACCCATTAAGAAGACAGAGGTGGGGCTGCAGGAGGCGGGGAGGGTACAAAGTCTGTTCAGGGCCCAGGCAAGGCCCCACAGTGAGGCCTGAGCAGATCTCCTGTGAGCACTCGTCTCTCCACAGGGGCCTTCAGGAAGTACAGATCACTTTGGCAGCCAGACTGGGGGAGGCGGAGGAGAAGATCAAAGTCCTACATTCAGGTATGCATCTGGCTCATGTCCCCTTCCTGGCCCAGTCAGACCAGAAAGAGGAGTGGAAGGGACCATGACACTATGAACTTGGGCTCAGGTATTCTAGCATCACAGGGGCAAGAAGGAGTTTGGGGCAGGAGGAGGAAGGACCTACATTACCCAACTGGGGATCTGACCCCTGGTCTCCAGAGGCCATTTGGCTGAGGAGAGAGTATCTGAGGTAGAATTAAATCAGGGGTGGAAAATGGAGTGCCCTCAGGGCCCGGATTAGGGAGGCAGTAGGGAAGGGTGGGGTCTGAGGCAAACCGGAGAATCCAGGCCAGGTCCTTCAGTTTTCCTTAGGAAATCAGAAATTGTCTGAGGAACCTCTCGTTTTTCATAATGTACCTGTGTTTGTTGACTTCTTGTTCCGCTCACCTGCCAGGTCTCGGTGGGTGAGCTTATGGGTAGAAGGCCTTACCCAGATCCTAGAGTATCCTGAAGGTGTTGTAGGACTCATACCCCAGACATGGGACAGACAGCCCCTTCAACTCGCGTGGCTCTCCTCTACTCCACAGATGCATAGTTCTCTATACTCCCCACCACCCACTCCCCAACCCCGACCCTCCGGCCCGGCCACTCCCCATCCCTCCCACTGGTTGAAATGTGTCTAGGCAAGGAAACTCTCTACTTGTCACCAGTTCTCATTTCCTCGCTAATCTGAGCTTCACTCTGCTTTCCAGGCCTGGGAATGGGTTCCACCTTCTGGGTGTGCGGGTCTTCATTCTGGCTCTTTACTTTTTCCTAGCGTTAAAGGCCACGCAGACAGAGCTGCTGGAGCTGCGCCGGAAATACGATGAGGAAGCGGCATCCAAGTAAATGCGTGTCCTACTGAGCTGTGCCTCCCCCTCTGACCCTCCAGCCGTGCCTCCTCCTTGTGCCCGCCTTCCTCTAACCCTCTGCTGGAGCCGCCCATCCCATTAAGTACCCTTTGCTCCCCACCCACATGGGCACAGCGGTGCACATCCGCTGCTGTGCTGGCCTGCCATTCATGCACCACCGCAGACTATGGACATTCTGGGCCTCAGGCTGCGGGGGCCTCCTCACCCCAGCCTCCTGCGACTGTCCAGCTCCCTGGCACCACAGTCCAATCCAGACCTCACCTTTCTTTAGACTTTAAGATGTCACTTAGTTCACAACACTTATTCAGCACGTTTACCCCAGTGCTGTGCTGAGCCCTGGAACACACAGCCCTGTCCTAATCAGCTGAGGTGGGAATGCACAATGATAAATTCATTCCTTCAGACACTCTTGAGGCCTTACTGTCTGCCTGCATTGTTTTGGGCACAGGGTACAGGCCATGAAGGGAAGAATGGGGAGCACTGAGATAGAGTAACAAGAGTTGGGTCCAATTATCCTGGTAGTCAGGGAGGACTTCCCTGAGGAGGTGACCTGCAGAATGAGACCCAAAAGATGAGTAAATGACCACATGAACACCAGGCAGGGTGCCTTGGGCAGTGGAAACAGCTTGTGCAGAAGACAGTCCTGTGCGTGCAGCTCACTGTCACCAAATGCTCCCTACTGCCCTCCTGTACCCCACCTGGCCCTCACCCCACCCACACTAGGCAGAGGGGAGACCCTTAGTGCTGGCAGTCTGGGTGGGGCTAGTTGGGAAAGACTCCCTAGCAAGACAATTGGAGCTGAGTCTTAAAACTCGGGGTGTCCCAGGCAGAGCAGGGCCCAAGGCTGGGGGGGGCGTCGCTCTGCAGGCAGCTTTAGAGAGTGCTCCCCTCGGGGAGATGGAAGCCAGGCTGCCTGGAAGGGATGCAGTGCTGGGTCCCTTTGCCATTTCCCCACAGCGTGGGTTCTTTCCACCCCAGCCTGGTTTCTCCCCATAGGAAGGGTGAAGTTGTTATAGGACAGGGAGAGGGGCAGCCCAAAACCCCGCAACCCTGCCTATTCTAAATGGGTTCTGCCATCCGCCGCATCAACACAAAACATAGGAGACTTTAATGGGAAGGAACTTTAATACAACTAGGAAACAATACAGGTAAGGCAAAGAGTCTAGTTTCTAAGTGAAGCACCCAAAGTGACCCGTCCCCTCGTGGGTAAAACTCCATCCAAATGGGATCGGCCCAGAACAAGGCCCCAAAGCCTGCCACAAGTCTAAGCATCTTCCAGTGGGGACCCACAGAAAAGGGTCACAAACAACCGGACAAGCCCCGAAGGAAAAGAGCAAAATCAACATTAAGATAAAAGCTGTCATTGTCACCTCCCCACGGGTCTCACCCACATCTGTGTCACCTAGTCCACGACCAAAAGACAAGCGCAGTTTCTTCACATGTCTCTAGGCTCCATGCGCCTCCTCCAGGTCTCCTGGCTCCATCCTGCTCCTTCCTCAGTCTCTTCTTCAGCTTCTCCTCTTCCTGCTCAGCTCCACCCTCCCTTGGGTGGGGCAGGGAACCTCCCCCTTTCCTGGGGACCACCCTGTTGCAAAGTCACCATGCACAGACCGTGGGCTGAGGGGGTCAGCAGGCTGGGGGTGGCAAGGTGGGCGGGCACCCTGGTGACTGCCAAAAGCCTCTGCTCAGGGCCCTGTCTTTCTGTCTCAGGGCAGATGAAGTCGGCCTGATCATGACCAACCTGGAGAAAGCTAATCAGGTGAGGAGACGCCGCTGCGGTGGCGGGATCTCAGCTGGGCCGGGAGGGAGGGCTGAGCTCAGTCAGTGTTTGTCCGACTCAGTGCTGGAGAAGCCTTCCCAGTGGGGGCGTGGGGCTGAGACCTGGCAAATAAATGGAGAACACAGAGAGCTGGTGCAGTGGAGGGCAGAGACCAGAGGCAGCCTGTCCTGGAGCCCCTGCGGAGGCATCCTCCGCCAGCTCAGGACAGCGGGGGCGGGTGAGAGCAGCGCCCACAGGTGCCGGGCCCCCAGCTCGACTGGGACGTGGGTCTTCCGGCCAGACCTCATGAAGGAACCACATCCCACCTGAGCAGCAGTGATTCCCACGGGCCTAACCCGAGTGTCTCCCCTTCCATCAGCCAAGCCCTGGTGGACCCCAGCCTTCGCTGAGGCCCCCTCTGCAGCTCTACCCATCCCTAACCACACTCACCCCATTCTCCCCAGCGAGCTGAGGCTGCCCAGCGGGAGGTGGAAAGTCTTCGTGAACAACTCGCCTCTGTCAACAGCTCCATCCGCCTGGCTGCTGCTCCCCTCAGGGACCCAGCGGGTAAGCATGGGGAGACAGAGGTTGAGAACAACCACGTTGTGGGCATGAATATGTGGGTGACATTTGGTGGGTTGACCACCTGCATCTGTGTAACAGGGCATGTGTGCACACAGTGGATATGGCCTCTTCTGTGTAACGGGGCATGTGTGCACACAGCAGATATGGCCTCTCCTGTGTAACGGGGCGTGTGTGCGCACAGCGATATGGCCTCTCCTGTGTAATGGGGCGTGTGTGCACACAGCAGATATGGCCTCTTCATCACCAAGGTGAGTGTGTATAAAACAGTTCCTTGCTTCAAACACTCGGGGTCAACATACAGCCACAACTCTTAACTTTCCGAGCTTCCATCCACCCTGTGTAACAGGACATCTGTTATATTCCTTTGGAGGCCTCCGTGCCCTCCGATGTCCAGGAATGCCAGGGAGTTACCTGGGCCAAAGATCATCCTATGGATAGATGCCCTCAAGGGGGCGGGGGTGGAGTTTGAGCAGCAGTGTGTTTTGGATGGCTGCCACTAGGTGTCGTTGTTGTCGGTGGGGGTCGCACTTCTTGGTGGTCCATCCCGCCCCCCCAACGGGTAGAACCACATATTAAGGCTGGGGTTAATGCTTATACCCAAGCAGTGGGGTTTCCCAGCAGCCGTGTGCTGTGATGAACCCATCTCCAGGCAGCGGCCCTGAGCTTCCTGTGTCAAGTCTTGTTACTTGGTGCATCTTCTCTTTCCTCCTGGTTGGTGCCTCACTGGGGTCCTGGGATCATTCCCTACCAGAGATTTTACTCAGAGCCACCCCAGTCTGTCTTAGATTCAAAGCCTCCCTCCCGCCCCTCCAGAAAGGCTTGGGCCTTGTGGAGACTGGTCTGCCGTCTTTCCAGTGCTCTGCATAGCGGGGATACACTCCTGATCCTTCCCCAATAACAGCTGTGTGCAGGGCCATTTGCACTACCATCCGTGCACCTGATGCGGCCAGCATCCCCTTCAGTTCAGCCGGACACCCTCATGCACCTGTGTGTCTGCCTTTGTGCTTAAATTTTTGGAACGTGTCTCTGAGAACATGTATTAGTGTGATTATGTGTCTGTTGGGGCAAATGACTACATCCTTCATCTAACTGTGCCTCAGTTTCCTCATCTATACAAGTTAGACTTACCTTATGGGGCTATTGATGAACAGCAAATAAGTATCTAAAATGGCACCGGGCTGCTAATCTCTGGCCAGCAAATATATGATGCTACTCTTACTTATTTTTTTGATTATGATTATAATGATGATTATCCTCATTGGCGTGTTCTTGTCATGTATGAGGACATGTGGCCTCCTTACACACATCCCCATCCCAATGTGATGTGCCCCAGATGCGTGTCTCCCTGATACCTGAGGGTTTGTGTG